CTTTATGTATTTTTTGATGAGATCAATCTTGAGGTCCTTGAGGACGTCATTCGTCCTAATGTACCATGGTACTTTGAAAAGTCTTCTCAGAGCATGGCTTGAAGTGTGTTAGTTATGTTGAAAGCACATTTATCAGCATATACCGCCAGAGTCGAGGGACTTAACATAACAATATCACATGTATAAATGTTGTGGGGGAAAGTGGCGAACCCTGAGGAACCCCTGCTTCTATAGATTGGACTAACGAGAGAGCGCTATTGATTTTCGTGCGAAAGGCCCTTCCACGTAGGAAGCTGCCGATGATCTTTGTTAGTCTGTCTGGATCACTTAGATGAGACATTTTTACTATCAGGCCATCATGCCAGATCTTGTCAAAAGCTTTAGAAATATCAAAAGTGATCATTCCAGTCGTCTCTCTTCTACTAAGGGCTGTTTGTATCATTTGGGCCGTTCTAGACAGTTGAAGCACCATGGACAGGTCATTCCTAAAGCCAAATTGTTCGTCTGGGAGTATATTGCGTGAAGCCACTACAGCATTTAATCTGCCTTTCGGCTAACACCTGTTGAAACGTTGCAGTATTGTATACCATCTGCCAAATGTTATATAAGATTTTTGTATGAATTATCGTAGTAATAATTTGTTTGTTTTATTTTGTAAAGTAATAACGTTGTTTGAAATATATTTTGTTGCAAAAAATAACTTTGTCAATAAAATGTTCAAAACACGTCACACGCTTCTGTTTGCACATTAGGAAAAAGCATCTAATTTCCTCAGTAAGGAAATGCACACTAGGAGTATATAACAAGTTCTGTGATTGGCATTTATGGTCAAGGTTATTTTAGCTAGTTGAGTTGTTGTTAATTGAATATTAATATTTAAATAAAAGGCACAATTGAATTTTTGACAATTCAATTGATGTGAAACCACATGAAGCATTGATTCTCTTTTCTGTTATATTAGCTAGATAGATTTGGTTCAAGTACCAAATTAACATCACATATGCACCTAATCACTTGTAATAACAATTTTCGTCGCTCTTTTCGCCGGGGTAATACTCAAGGGTTGGTCCTGGATCGTTACAATTAAATTTATAAATATTTGAAGACTGCGTTTCAAGTTTTACTTTTTAATCTTTATTTATTAATCAATTTACTTAAATGTAACAGTGTTAATATATTTTATGTTTATTTTTTATCTGTGTGGTGCCCTATTACAGGATATTCGATAATAGCCAGCGTATCGTTCTTTGGTGCTTGCTATAGTTTGCTGTTGATGTTTGCTCTTCGATACCTGTTGTAAAAAGGATTAATAGTTATACGCGTTGTTATATGACGTGTTCACGCACATATATGATTTGGTATATAGGATAAAACATGTTCACGCTTTACGTTACGATTCCCCACAGGATATAAACATGTTCACGCTTATATTTGCTACCGTGGAAGGATGCAAACGTGTCCACGCTTATGTATGGGTCTATAGAAGAAATAAGACGTGTTAACGCTTTACATCAGGATTTCGTAACAATTTATTTTTATTTTATTGAACACAGAACTAAGTTATATTAAAATAATTAATATTTTATTATATTATTAAAATTGCTATTCATAATTCATATAAGTTAACGAACAAAATTTAAAAATAGATAAGTAGCCTCTCTGAGAGTGCATGTAGCTCTATCACGTCTGCTTTGTACCTTATCGTAATGCAGGCGCAAAATGAGTAGAGCTTATTATTAACACTTCGTTCAATAATGTGTGTGACTGACACATAGATGGCGGCACTAATACTAAATAAATATTTTTTTTCGAAAGTGGCAACCTTTTTAGGCTTACTGTCAAAATCATATGTTAATCCGATCATTTGTTTACAAGTTACAGTGCTTTAAGTGACGCTACTTTTGAGTTTTCAAAAAAAAAATAAATTCAAAGCAATTCCGTGTGCTGATTTATCATTGTTTTTTAATGAAAAAGAATACTGATCAATGCCAGGAATGGCTTGAAAAACATTATTCGGACTCTGCTCCATCAAAAAGAAGCATTTGTTATTGGTATGCCGAATTCAAACGTGGTCGTACAGACACCGATGACATTCCATCTACTGGACGGCTAAATGACGCTGTTATTCTGGAAACCGTAAAGTAAAAGTGAGGGAGATTGCTGACATTCTACAGATATCAGCAGGCAGTGTACACACCATAATACACGAACATTTGGGTATGAAAAAGGTACATCACGATGGATGAAACATGGATCCACCATTTCACTCCAGAGTCAAATCGGCAGTCTGCTGAGTGGCATGCAGCCGGTGAAAGCCGCCCAAAGCGACCAAAGTCGTAGCAGTTGGTTGGCAATGTTATGGCGTCTGTATTTTGGGATGCGCATGGAATAATATTCATCGACTATCTCCAGAAGGGGAAGACCATCAACAGCGTTATTGGAGCGTTTAAAAGACGAAATCGCAAAGAAACGGCCTCATATGGCGAAAAAAACAGTTTTAAGCTACACCCACCGTATTCTTCAGATCTGAACACCAGCGACTACTGGCTCTTCGCAGACCTCAAAAAGATGCTCCGTGGTAAGAGATTTGGCTCAAATGATGAAGTAATCGCCGAAACTAACGCCTATTTTGAAGGCAAAGAAAAATCGTTTTACAAAGGCGGTATCGAAAGATTGCAAAAGCGTTGGAATGATTGTATCTCCCTGAAAGAGGACTATGTTGATGAATAAAAACGAATTTTGGCAAAAAAATGTGTTTTAATTAGTTAGTCACACACATTATTGAACGAAGTGTTACGATTAGTATTAATAAAGAAGCGATAAAATAAAGAGCTACAAAAAATAATATATTTTTATTTAATTTATGTAATACATACATTTGTTAGAAAACAACTGTTATGTATCAGCTAGCGTTGTTTTTATTTTCATTACAATTTAATTGACAATAATAAAACTAAGACTTTTTAAATGCTTCTTGACCAAATTTATATTAAGTTTTACATATTGCTGACTTATATACGTTTAACATCATTTTTCATTAAAACAGGTTTATCTGTGGATGACGCAAACGCTGATTCGCCAAGCCCTCCTCCTGCAGAATTATCATCTTTTTCGACTCGCCAAAATAGTTTCATGAATATGTTTCCAAATTCTATTGGTTATTGCTTCACTCCAACAGCTGCCTCACAAATTCAGCATCAAAATCCTTTTGCGCAGCCAAAAAGTGCAAACTCTAATAACCGTCGGTTCCTACAGGATTCAGGATCGTGCAACTGCCATCTTAATTCAAATTCTCAACAATCTGATAACATAAAACATGTAATACAAAATAAAAAGCACTTGCAGCTAAAAGAAGGCTATAAACAACCCTTGAATAGTCTTCGGAGTGAAGTTTCGATACTAGGTGACACCACAACAGCTGCAAAAGTGATAGCTAACTTCTATTCGCACTCAAAAAAGCGACAGTTCGATGTAGCTTCGTTACTTGCACCTGAAGATGATTCTCATATTTTTGCAAATAATACTCAAATTGAACCATCACATATAAGAACCGAGCATACTTTTATTACAAAGGTCAGCGTTCAACATCAGCAAAGTGTACCTATACTATTACAGCCTAGACCAGAAAGTGTATTAAACTTGAGTCAAACTGAAATTAAATTGGGTGAAGAACTGATTAATTTGGATGATCAAGATATAGATGTTGTTGCCAGTGACTTGGAAGAGAGCAATGATAATGACTTGTGTTAAGTAAAATTAGTGAATAAAAAGTCGTTGTGAAAAAAAAAGTGTTGTAATTGATATGTGCTTCAGAGAACTGTAATGAGTACTCAACACTCGAGTCATACTAATCACTCGAGTCTCTAATCATTGAATGTATTTCACTTATTCGCATTCTGATTCTCTTTTTTGTATATTCGACTCCACCTGATTCATACATACGGCACTTACAATTATATATACTCTTCTTATTTAACACTCATAAACACTAACACTTGACACAAAAATTATGCTAGTGATTTATGAAGCATAGTTGCTGCCATATAGCCAGTGGCTATCTAGTTAGATGTAGGTTCGTCACGCAAACTGGTTTCTTTCCCAATCCAACAGGTAACATGAATTTTTTTTGTTGCAGTCTGTGAATGTTGGTGAACGTGAAAAAAAACCATCTCCAAGGCCGACGAGCATTTTGGGCATATTCATATACATCATATTCATTTCGCCCACCAAAGACCGGACACAACAAATATCATAATCGGCAAAAATTTGCCTGTTGTTGTTTACTGTGTCCTACAAAAACAAATCCAAATTTAATGTGCACATAATATTAAGAATATAAACAAAATGCATGCATTTACAATACTAACAACATCACACACCAAGAGTATAACAAAAAGAATCAAAACAAATTTTCTGTTTAGCAAACAACAGCCCCTTCAAATTTATACGAATGCCAAAACTCGTCGAATCGGCATTTATTAACTTTCAATGTATCAGTAAATGATTTGTGGCGACAGTACAACAAAGATGTCAACCCAGAAAATAACCAATTGTCATTATTGAAGGCAAAAGACACCTGGCAATGCTGAAAAGATAAAAGCACATAAAGTTAGTTGATGGTTAATTTTTCTAGAGTAAACTTGTATTATTTTGTAGTTTGAAGAAAGTAGTTTTGTATAATTTTGTAGTTTAAATAAAGTAGTCAAAAGAAACGACTAAAGTGGTGACCCCGACGCGCAAAGTAAAAAACTTGCAGAACTAATTTTTTAGAAGAAAAAAAGGGCAAAGTAACATTAGTTTTAGAAACGCTAAACAACATTCACTAAAACTATTAACGGGCTTAGCCAACACGCACATCGTCATCACAAGTTGCAGAGCAAGAGTACTTGGAACAGCTAAGGTGGTGATTCCGTTGGAAAATCGAGCAAAAACACTACAAAGCAGTGCATCTTATGCAAGAGTACACGAGCAAGCTGCGTTCCAGACAGGCACACGACAACATGGCTGTAAATGCAGAACAAACTGTAAATCCACAAGTGGACTCCACTGAAATGAACATGAGACACAATGTGAGAGTCCCGAAATTCAATAAAACCAACCCATCAGTATGGTTCGCGCAACTGGAACGAGTCTTTCGTTTAAATAATATTCGAGGAGACACAGACAAATTTGATTGGGTGGCAGTAAATTTAGATGAAGACATTGTGATGATTGCTGAAGATCTAATTACAAATCCCCCAACGAACAATAAATATGAAACACTCAAGGCACGTTTGTTGGGGAAATTTGCGGAATCAGCCGAATCCAAGTTGCGGCGCCTACTACAAGGAGGAAATACTACGGGTATGAAGCCGTCGGAAATACTTTCGAACATGAGACGTCTTGCACCAGATCCAAATAGCGAACAAATTATTCGTACGCTTTTTCTCAGCGAAATGCCCAAATCGATTCGTCCGGTATTGGCAATTTGGGAAGAGGATGATCTAAATAAACTTGCCAAGTTAGCTGATAAGATGCTGGAGGCTTCAACAACAAACGCAATGACCATGTGTGAAGTATCGCCACAGGCTAAGCAGGCTACGACAACTGTGTGCAGCACAGCACATAATGATTTGTACACAGCTGTTCAACAACTGACCGACCAGGTTAAAAAGCTGCAAGTTGAAGTTAGCCAACTCAGGAAACCAATCACGAGTCGCAACGGTTCTCGATCGCGCTCACCCAAAACTGTAAGCGATGTCTACTGTCAACAGCGACGTCATGGCAAATTGTGTTACTATCACACCAAGTTTGGGGATGGTGCCACCAAGTGCAAGCCAAGCTGCTCACGATGGGCACCTTTAAACTAAAAAAGCTGTCGTCAAACACACTGGTTGACGGCAGTAGCAAACAACTTGACCACATAACCAGTGATTCATCAGTAGCAGAAAAACAACCACTCATAAATAGTGAACGTCTTTTTGTCGTCGATCGCAAATCATGTTTTCGTTTTTTGGTTGACTCGGGCTCAGTTGTATCAGTAGTGCCACGGCTTTTGGTGAAATTCAAAACAACACAAGGAGAGCTCCAACTATACGCAGCGAACCGAACTCTCATTACCACATTTGGCAACAACACAATGGAATTAGACCTAGGTTTACGGAGATCGTTTAGGTGGCAATTTATCATCGCTGATGTCGAAGTTGCTATTATTGGTGCTGATTTCTTAAACCATTTTCATTTGTTAGTTGATCTGAGAAACAAACAACTTATAGACATGACGACGAAGCTTAACACACGAGGTGATCTATCAGCTTCTCCGCCATCAACCATATCTACAATAGATGAGACTGCCAAATTCAGCAATCTGCTCAAAGAATTCATTAATATTACACGACCAGTGTTGAAACAGTCACTTCACGACACTCAAAAGCATGGGGTGACTCATCAAATTGAGACAAGAGGCAACATTGTATTTGATCGTCCCAGAAGGTTATCTGGACAGAAACTTGCTGTGGCAAAAGCCGAAATCACTCTATTACTGGACCAAGGTATTTGCCGTTTGTCAAAAAGTCCATGGGCAAGTCCCCTACACATGGTGGCGAAAAATAATGGTGGCTGGCGTGCTTGTGGCGACTATCGAAAATTGAACGCAATAACGATACCGGACAGGTATCCTATCGCTCATGTGCATGATTTTGCGGAGAAGTTACACAACAAAACGCTGTTTTCAGCACTCGACTTGGTGAAAGCATATTACCAAATCCCAATGGCAGAGTATGACATTCAAAAAACTGCCGTGAGCACACCTTTTGGCTTGATTGAGTTCCAGTACATGCCGTTCGGATTGAAAAACGCGACGCAGACATTCCAACGTTTCATGGACCAAATTTTGATTCGTGTATTGCTATATTGACGACATTGTCATAGCTTCAACGTGCATAGAGGAACATGAACGTCATATCCGAACAGAGTTTTCCATTTTGCGCCAACATAGACTCAGGATAAATGTCAACAAATGTTAATTTGGTAAATCGGAAATTCTCTTTCTGGGCTACACGGTCAGCAAGAATGGCATTAAACCACCACAGGACCGCATTGAAGCAATAGTGAATTACAAACAACCTGACACAGTCAGTGACCTAGCACGGTTTCTAGGTATTCTGAATTACTACCGGCGTTGTATACCACACTTATCGCAACATCAAGCACAGCTTAGTGATCTGGTACGAAACATCAAAAAGAATGACAAACGAAAAATCTCTTGGACTCCCGAAAGTCTCGATGCGTTTAATAACTGTAATAACTGTAAACACAGCGAATGCTGCACTAATTGCAAATCCAGCACCTGATGCTAAGCTGGCACTTATCTGTGATGCATCTGACGTTGCTATTGGCGCGGCCGTAGAACAATATGACCAGGGCACTTGGGTACCATTCAGATTTTTTTCGAGAAAACTCTCAGCAACTGAAAAAAATTACCGCGCATATGATAGGGAATTATTAGCAATCTACAGCGCCATTCGTTTTTTCAAACACTTACTAGAGGCACGAGTGTTCGTCATTAAAACGGACCACAAACCGCTGATATATGCTTTCAAACAGAAACCAAAGAAGGCGTCACCACGACAGCTCCGCCATCTCGATTATATTTCCCAATTTTCAACAACCATTGTACACCTATCTGGAAGTGACAATGCTGTGGCAGATGCTCTTTTTCGCATTTCAGCTGTATCGCTGCCAACTACTGTCAGTTTATCAACCGTTGCAGAGGAACAATAAAACGATCAAGAGCTAAAAACGCTGTTGCACGGGGATACATCTTTGAAACTGCAAGCAATTGTTTTCAACGACAAAAATTCTTTGTTCTGCGATGTGTCTACAGGAACAATTCGGCCATACGTGCCAGTATCTCTGCGTCATAAAGTTTTCGCATCAGTTCACGGTATGTCACACCCCAGTGGAAAATCCACCCTGCATCAGATAAAACAAAAATACGTCTGGCCTTCCATGCGAATTGATATTGTTGAATGGGCGCGAAATTGTTTACCTTGTCATCGAGCAAAAATACACAGACACAATACTTTTCGGCCAATTAAAATCGACTTGCCAGATAACCGTTTCGAGCATGTACATATCGACATCATTGTTATGCCAATGGATAAAGGGTATTGCTATTGTTTAACAATGATTGATCGTTTTTCAAGGTGGCCTGAAGCTATACCGTTAAAAGACATTACGGCAAACACCATAATATCAGTTTTTGGTCAAACTGGGTGGCGAGATTTGGATGCCCGCAAACCATAACAACGGACCGGGGCCTACAATTTGAATCAGCTTATTTCAAAGCCATGACCAAAATGATAGGAGCAAAACACGTCCACACCACGTCATACCACCCACAGGCAAACGGTATGATTGAACGCTGGCACCGTTCTTTAAAAGCAGCACTTATGTGTCACGAAATAGAATCCTGGAAAGAATTACTACCAACAGTCCTGCTAGGCCTACGAACGTGTTTCAAGGAAGATCTGCAAACTTCAACTGCTGAGATGCTGTATGGTTTCCCGATTCGACTACAGAACGAGTTTGTTGAGGACGACCAACAATGCACCAGCCCTCAGATTTTCATAGAGGAGTTTCGCAAACACATGCGATTAGTGCGACCGATTCCCGCAACACGTCACCGGAACAAAGTTTCATTTGTGTTGAAAAACCTCTACAACTTTTCACACGTCCTGCTTAGGACTGATTCTGTTCGTCGCCCGTTAGAGCCACCGTACACTGGACCATTTAAGGTACTCAGTAGACCAACGGACCGAACTTTCGTAATTGACATCCAGGTAAAAGAGACCACAGTTTCAGCAGAAAGGCTCAAACCTGCTTTCATTACTAAAGAAGTAGATGTGAAGGAGGCAACGAAGAACCCACACACGCACGTAAAGAGAAACCAGGTGAGGTTTTCACAATAGACAATACTGGAAGGGGGGTACTGTGGCGACAGTACAACAAAGATGTCAAACCAGAAAATAACCTGAAATGCTGAAAAGAAAAAAGCACATAAAGTTAGTTGATGGTTAATTTTTCTAGAGTAAACTTGTATTATTTTGTAGTTTGAAGAAAGTAGTTTTGTATAATAGTGGATGTTAAATAAAGTAGTCAAAAGAACCGACTAAAGATTCATACTAGTGCTCTTCATATTATTTTAATTTTTAAAAACCGAAGTTCTCCGATTATTCAATTAACTGGATTTCAACAAAGTCTCCGGAGTTGAAAATAAAATCGGATTTTTTGTGAATCTTAATTTGTGATTTTCATTCGCATTAAAATTATTTGGAGACTTCGTGAGCAAAAGTGAGAGCACAAAATGCAAACGAACGTGCATCACACGAATTTGCTTTGATTGTACGATTTTGTGTTTGTTTTGATATTTTATGCAAAAAATGATATGTGTTGATTTTATTTTATTTTATTACATCATCAAAACGGCGCGAAAGGTGAACATTCCTCAACTTTTTTATTGTTTTGTTTTTTTTTAATCGGAAAAAGTTAACTTTTAAATTTCAATGTATGAACAATCGAACTATTGACAACTATGGACGAACTATTGAACAAAATTATTAAAAACGGTGGTCGATTTTAAACGTTGAAGTCCACTTTTGGATAATTTAAAAATTTTTTATTCTAACAAAATTAATTTTTACTTTTGCAAAATAAACAAAAACAGGAACTGTGTTTTGCTCTCTGTTTTGAGCAAAACACAGTTCCAGCATATGAAAGTTAACGAAAGTTCAAAATTGTAAGTGTGGTGTTGCCACAGTATAAGTTTCAAGTGTTTTTTAAAAAACTTAAATAAGAATCAAATTTTATTTATTTATATATATAAAATTTTAAATAATTAAATGAACAAACCTAAAATATTTTAAAAACTATTATATGAGCGATTGTGAAAATGTTATACGACGGCAAACGGTAAACTCGTCAAAAATTAGTCGTTCAAGTCCCCAAGGAGCTCGGCAAAGTTCAAATATCAAACAAAAGAAGCTGGATACCTATTGGTTGCCAACTGAAACCAAAAAAAACTCTAGCCGATATTCCGTGCTAGATGAAGACCAACGAGCAAAATGAAAAAATTGTTATCCCAAAGCCTCCTCCAATATTTGTTCCAGGAGTCGGTAAAATACAACCATTAAGGCAGCTTCTGAATGAAATAGCCCCCAACGAATATGATTTAGAAATACTTGCCAGCTATGAGGTCAAAATACAGCTTAGTAGCCCAGAAAAATACTCCGTGATAACGGGTTCTTGAAGCCAAAAAAACTGAGTTCCATACCTACAAACTCAAACATGAGAGAAGTTTTAACGTTGTATTGAGAGGCATGCATCGTTTTATGCAAATAAGATACAAATAAGAGTATTTTTAGCCTACTGCACACAAAATTTACATTTGAAGCTTCAAGAAAAAAACGCGAAATTCAATGTTCTCGTTGTCAGCGCTATGGCCATACTAAGTATTACTGTAAACGAATGCCCCGCTGTGTAAAATGCCGTGGAAATCACTTGACATCAGAGTGAAAAATTTCAGAATTCCACCTACATAAACATGCACTAAAGACAATAACAACACAATTTTTTTTATAAAATAACACATTTTTTATTTTTAAATTTAAATTTGGAAAAAGTAGACTCACTGGTAAAAAATGTTGCAAATATCTGGAATTAAATAGATTAATTAATATTTAAAATATTTATTCAAAACAATTTATCAAAATCCAACCCGCTTGCAAGCCGTAGTAGCACCTCAAAGTAATCTGAAATGATATTGAAATGAAATATAAAAATATAGTTAAATAAATGAATAATAAACTCA